TCTTGACAGCATGAACCCAGGTTCACTCAAAGTCATCTTCCCCAGCCATGAGAATTGTTGGCAAAAGGGGAGACAATACTTTTGTGTATATATATATATATATATATATATATATATATATATATATATATATATATATATATACACACACAAAAAAGTATTTTCTCCCCTTTTGCCAACAATTCTCATGGCTGGGGAATATTACCATATTTTTATATTTATGCATATTGTTTAGCCTACTTTTTACTTTAGTTAATTTTGAAATACAGGACCATTACGATTTCTTGTATTTATTTAAATATTATATTTATTTATTCTATTTATTTGTTTGTTTGTTTGTTTGTTTATTTACCTTTTTCTTAAAATATAGCCTAGTACATTTAAAATATTAGTATTAATTGATATTTATTTATTTGTCATTTTAATGTTTATATTGTAGTATTAATTTTTCCTACTTTTTTAAATACAGCATTACGATTTTTTTTGCATTTACATTATATTCAGTTAATTAAGAAAAAATGTTAAGTACTTTCTCATTGCTATCATCAGGAATGTGATTTTTATGTATAAATACAGATTTACGGGTTTCCTTCGTTTTTTTGTCCATGGCCGATCACATGCCTATATAATTCATCTGTAAGTTTTACTTTTAAATATTTTTTATTTTTTTTAATGAACATTATTGTGATAAAGCACTATAATGTAACTAATTGTATTGTTAATATAAGCATAAATTAAAGATGGTTCAACTTAACAAAGGAACACATTAACAACCAGTGTTAATTTCGTCAACGAAGACGACGAGGAAAAATATTCGTTAACGAGAATCACTCCAAAGAGAAAGGAAAAATTGAAATAGCATCATATGACCCCTTTAAGTAAACCTACTGTATCTGAAAAATGAGTTTAATTTGTATCTTTTTCGTCTTCTTTTTCAAAAATTATATATGTATTATGCATGAATAACTATAATTTTTATAAGTTGCTCCCTTTTCACTACTGTTAAAGGGATAGTTCACCCAAAAATGAAAATTGTCATCATTTATTTAAGTTTTTCCTAATTCAATTCTTGATTCAAATTTCTCATAAGCTTAATTGATTTGGTCTAAAGAGAGAAGAATTAATGACTATTTTTGTTTGAACACTACATATAAAATAGCTACCAAAATAAATGTTGGTAACTGCAGTTTGACTAAAATGAATGACTAAAAGTTGACAAAAATGCAATGATTTTCCGTCGACTAAAACTATGAAAGACTCAAATGACTAAAATGTGCCTAAGACTATTAAGCATTTTCGTCTCAAGATAAAGACTAAGACTAAATCAAAAATGCCTGTCAAAATTAACAGTTAACAACTCATACAAAATGAATAATGTCGCAATGTAAAAAAAATGATCCTAAATATCCGGTTCCTTTTCTTTAAGCAAAATATTTGTTTTGGTTTGAAATACTGTATGACTTGGACATGTTCATGAGGTCCATGAGATGGTTAGATTAGTTGTTTAAAGTGTTTGTTTTCTTTAATAATAGATTTATGTCTGTTTATCTGTGGATGTCCACTGTGTGTTCTCTGTTTCCCCCTCCTCCTCTCTCTTATTTCCCCCCCCCCCCTCCTCCCTCTGTTG